GCTTAGAACTGGCTAATCGACTGTTAGACAGGTCCTCAAACTCCTGATTGCGACATTGCAGTGTGTAGGCACATGTTTCAAAGTAGGCTTGATGCGTGCGGTCAAGGTCCATATGTGGACGCGGTTCCATGGGGATACATTGTAGGAGGTAAATACCGACGCGTGTGAACACAGTGGGGTGTATCAGAAGCACGTGCGCACATACACAGTCAAAAATACATGCGGTATCGTGCAAAGTCTGCAAAGCCGCCAAGTGTAGTGGTTGTGGATCAGAAGAATTTCTCACGTTGGAAAATCCCGCTTCACAAACTTTGTTGCTTGAAGAAACGATCGGCGACCATTGCACAGTTAAATCAGTAGTGAGTGTTATGGCCTAAGTGGTTAACATACAACTCGCAGATGTAGTCAACATACAGAGGTCCGGTTCCATAAGGTTAAGATGGAGAAAGCTTAACCCATGAAAAACGGTAAACTCACAGAGGTGTCCACAGATTGCGGACATAATGCAGATATGGCGAAAGCAATTTGACTGTCTCTTGAACAATCGTCCAGAGATTACCTGGCCTACGTTGCACGGGCTGCAACAGCAATTGATGAAGATGTGTCTTGTCGACAAACCGACACTGGATGAGACGCAGAGAACACGTGCCCAGCTGCGAAACGCAAATGTGCCGGCGCCGACAGGATACCACCTGAAGTGTTGGAACGCGGCGGACCCGCTTTGATGCATGCGCTGCACCACTTGGTGCAACGTGTATAGTTCGAAGAAGAGTTGCCTGCTGACCTGAGGAATTCTCTGGTGCTATCATTGTACAAAGGTTAAGGGAGCAAGCAACGTGCCGTGAAGCATCAACTTGCTGTTGTGTGGGGGAGGTGATCGCCCGAATCCTGCGCAACTGCCTCGTCACTCAGGTCATTGGACCGAACATGGTAGAAGAGCAATGAGGACTCCATTCGGGTCGCAGCACCTTATACATGGTGTTCGCGGCTTGCCGGCTGCAGGAGAGATGTCGACAGCGACATCAACTATTATACTTGCTGTTTGTTGACTTCACCAAGGAAACTGACACGGTGAACCGCGAGGCACTGTGGCTGGCGTTGGGTAAGTTTGGTTGCCTGAGTAAGACTAAGTTTAATTCTGTCTGAACAGAGGTATGCAGGCGAGGGTGCAGCTGGGTGGAAAAACCTCGGATAACTTTGATCTTGTCTCGGGTGTGAAGCAAGGCTGTGTCTTAGCCCTACCCTGTTGGATTTTTATCATAATGTAGTGATATCTCGTGCTTTGGATGATGTTTGTAATCAGGGTGTCCGTGCGGAGCCCCGTACTGACAGTGGACTGCTGAACATTCGTCGTCTCGGGGCAAGAACCCTAATGTGTAAGACAACCACCCATATGGTGCTGTTTGCACACAGCGCGGAGGACTTTTACCACATGACTACGGATCTCGATTCGACAGCGGCCAAATTTAGGCTCACCATAAACAAGCAGGACTATCTTTTCCAGCCTACACCAGGAATGGAGTACCTGGGCCTGCCCCAAATACAGGTTGTTTACGAGGTGTTGGAGACAGCATCGAAATTTTGCTACCTTGAGACCTTAATATCAACCGACCTGCAGCTGACGAGCTAGATACACATGCAAGTAGCGAAGACAGCTGCTACGTTTGGCAAACTGGAATATCGTGTGTGGAGGAATCACCAGATTACAGTTGGGACGAAGCTGAATGTATACCTGTCCATGATGCTGTACGTCCTTCTAAACGGAGGCGAAACCTGAACGATGTACCGGGATATCCGGCATTTGGGGCCGTTACATCAACACTGTGACGGATTCTACGCAATGGCTAGGGTGACCGAGTTACAGACACGGAAGTCCTGCGCCGCAGTGGTATGTATGCAGTGGACTGCATACTTCTGTTGAGGCACATCAGCCGCATGGATTCGACGCGGATAACCAAGCAGCCGCTCTGTGGACAACTTAGCGTAGGGAAGCGGCAAGTTGGAAAACCGAAATTACGTTACCAAGATAGAATCAAGGTGAGTTTATCACGAAGTAATGTGGAGTTCACATGTAGGGAACCGATGGCCGTTGATCGGCACCAATGGCTTGAGCTAATCAAGAGAGCGGTTGCTCAGGTACAGGAGGGAACACTACTGCATGCGGAGCAGAAACAACAAGTACGGAAGCGACAGGCTCCGGTGGAGTTTACCCCAGCAACGTCAAGCGCATGGTATTGTAGCACATGCGGTCACGAGTGCCTCAGCCAAGCGGTCCTGGTAAGCCACCCGCGTTGTCATGCAGGGACAACATCCAAAAAGGTGACGAGTCAAATGATTAGGTAAACAGCATCAGCGCATCGTTCGTAAGTACGCTGCGCTCGCTTACATACGATTTACCAACCCAAGACAATCAGGCAGTTGATGTGGTACGCGCGTAACCTCACCGTTAAAGCTGGTTTGTAAGTGTGCCTGTGTGTTGAGATTCTTGCAGTTCAGGGGCTAGGTGCTGTTTGATATCCCCGATGTCGCTGCGCTTGAAGTGAATGTTGACAAGCTGCCTACCAGTCTATTACCCTCCACCTCCTTCATATTGAATCCAGGAGATAGTTAGTCGTTGCTGGGGGGCGGCGAGATGCACGGTCCTCGTGACGGTGCTAGGCTCAAAAAAATGGTTCCATGCATCCATTGTGAAGTGTACTACTGCGCGGCCACTGCATTGTGTACGTGTGGTACGCATGACTCCCAAATTACACAGACAGAAACGCTGCTGCTGTACATCTTGAGGGAGTGCTGGCCGGTAAAGTTGATGAAACGTGACTCCCATTCACAAGCCTCCCGGTCTTATTCCTTCGGGTTTACACTGGACATCGGGTGTGAGGTTGGAGCTGTAGGCGGTGCAGCGCAAGCCACGTATAGTCCCTCTGTAGGCGCAGGCGTCCTGTGGGTGGCCACAGTGATAGGCAAATCCGAAACCGGATGCCGCCAACCATGTATGTATGTGTGCCCTATACTGAGGCGGGTTACATTCTTGATGCTTCTTCACCGCAGTTGGGATAAACCAAATTACACTTAAACTAGGTCTTTTAGAGCTGGATAAAATTCATTTCACTTCATTTGGTTGGTTCTGCCTACCTGAATAAACTTCTATTAACCAGCCACGATGATTACGCTAAGAGCGCTTACCTTCGGTAACTTCGCTGCGTTTGTAGCATTTTCAAGTAACTTGTGAACATTCTTTACATGTCGCGGATTCGTTGATAACCAACTTACTTCATATGTTAATTTGGAGAAGAGTTATGTCACCGTATCGCTATGCATTAATGAATTTACTTTATTTCATCTTATCGTTTCAAGTGATTGGATGTTGCTTGATATCCCAGGTGTGGCTGCGCTTGCTGCGCATGTTGACAAGGTGCCTACTTGTACATTACCCACTACCTCATCAATACTGACTCCAGGAGACAGTTAGTCGTTGATGGATGGGACGGGGTGCACGGTCCTTGTGGCCGTGCAAAGCTCGAAGAGTGGTTCCATACACTCAGTGTGGAGCGGACTACGGTCCAGCCATCGCCTTGTGTGCACTTGATTCCCCAAATACAGCATGCTTGTGGTTGCCCGTGAAGGAGTGTGGGCCGGCTCTGTTGATGAAACGTGGCTCCCATCCGTATGCCTCCCGGTCTTATTCCTTCGGGTTTACACTGGATATGGGGTGTGTGGTTGGAGCTGTGAGTGGTGCGGCGCAAGCCACCCACGGGCCCTGTGTAGGCACAGGCGTCCTGTGGTTAGGCACAGTGACATGCAAATTCGAAACCGGATGCAGTCAACCATATATATATATATATATATATATATATATATATATATATATATATATATATATATATATATATATATATATATATATATATATATATATATATGGTTGGCGGCATCCGGTTTCGGATTTGCCTGTCACTGTGGCAAGCCACAGGACGCCTGCGCCTACAGAGGGACCATGGATGGCTTGCGCTGCACCACCCACAGCTCCAACCACATACCCCATATCCAGTGTAAACCCGAAGGAATAAGACCGGGAGGCATGCGGTGGGAACCACGTTTCATCAACGGAGCCGGCCCACACTCCTTCACAGGCAAACACAAGCACGCTGTATTTGGGGAATCAAGCGCACACAAGGCGGTGGCTGGACCGTAGTCCGCTCCACACTGACTGCATGGAACCGCTCTTTGAGCCTAGCACGGCCACAAGAACCGTGCACCCCGTCCCCTACAGCAACGACCAACTGTCTCCTGGAGCCAGTATGAACGATGTAGTGGGTAATAGACAGGTAGGCACCTTGTCAACATACACATCAAGCGCAACCATACCAGGGATATCAAATAACAGCCATTCACTTTAAACGACAAGCTGAAATAAAATAAATCCAATAATGCATACAGATACGGTGGCATAACTCTTCGCTAAATTACCACATGGAGTAAGTTGGTTAGCAACAAATCCGTGATAAGTAAAAAATGTCCAAAAGTTACTTAAAATGCTACAAACGCAACAAAATTACCGAAGATAAGCGCAATTAGTGTAAGCAACGTGGCCAGTTAATAGAACATTATTCAGGGAGGCAGAACAAACCAAATAAAGCGGAATGAAAGTTAGCCAGCTTAAAAGGACCTAGTTTAAGTGTAAGTTGGTTTAGCCCAACTGCGGTGAAGAAGCATCAAGAATGCGACATCAGCCTCAGCATATATATATATATATATATATATATATATATATATATATATATGCGGTGACCAATTATGGAGGAGAAAACGATTGTAAACGAAGATAGCTGATAGTCGAAAAATAAGGAATCAAAATTGTAACTGAGTGATATCGTAATCTTCCCGAAATATTTCCAATTCCCTGAGAAATTCAAGGAAAAGGCTCACGTAAACTAGCCAGACACCACCTAAACGACGCGGTTGATTTGGAAAATGTGGGCCAGGCAAGCAATAGCACTCACCCCTCACAAATTTTCTTTACACGTGCGCGCAACTGGTCGCCTTGGAAAAAGACAAGGAAAACGGATTTTTGGACTTTTGTACCCTGCAACGAAGAAGGAAAGAAAACGTAAAGTTAAAACGAATGTTATGATAAGGGCAGCAGGGGAAAAGTATATCGTCAAGGGAAAAATAGCTACGTAGCTTTATAAACACGTAAGCTATTTAAAATTCGGTCTGGCTTGCCGAACAACGTCCTCGAGGTGCCAGCTAGGTGGTTCGAGTTTATACCGTTCCAGCAAATCGTTCGGCGGCAGTGTTCCAGAAGGTGATGGGTTTTCGCCTGGCAAGCGTTCTCCCTACAAAAAGTCACATGTTCGTTTGACAACAATGTGACGTGGCGGATGTGACTCGCCACTAAATAAAGTCATTGCCCCTTGCTTCATACTGGCGAAGCATGGTATTCCAGCAACTAAATGCTGAAATTGTGGGGAGAATTGGGTTCCTGTTTGGCAAACGAACAAACGAAACGCGTATGAACTGCACAATCAGTCACCGGCTCCCAATGGGCGCGATTACCAGGATTCGCTCCGGTGCCTTCCGAGGCCATTCGCCCAAAGGCTCGGGATAATGTCCATTAAGTCAACATCCTACTTCGTCTTGGGCAACCGGGTAGTACCGCGCCCACTGACGAAACCATGAACTCATCCGTGTTGCGTGTGTTATCGATATGTGTACCTTATTTTAAGTTCCATGGTTTTCGACGGCTCTATGTCTATTTGCAGGCCGTTGCCTATATATATATATATATATATATATATATATATATATATATATATATATATATATATGTTTATTTATTTATGGGGGAAAGCCTGTGGTGACCTGAGGCTGGTGGTGGCTAAATCCTGACAGATGGTCTACCCACCGCTGCTACTGTTGTGCCATTTGCTCATGTCCTGGACGCCTCCTCGTGGCAACCGCTGGGTGGGAGTTGGGTTTCGCCCTTCTCCCTGCTAAGATCCAGGACACCAATCCGCATGAGTCAGTGAAATGACCATGTGCTAGACCCGCTGCCTTTCTGGTGTACATTTAATCGAAAGCCTTGGCTGAGGACACGAGTCGTTCTCCTGTCAGGAGTGGGCGCCCTGCCAGTATCCTAGTCCATACTCTTCGAAGGTTAGGAAGTGGTCGATGGCCCTCTTCCCGTAAAACCTAGCCATGGGAGACAACAGGTCTACGGGTTATAAGCTCACAGCTCGATTGGCGTAGAGCACGCGCGCCACGCATTGTCTCTGACGGTGGGAGGGCACCTCCGGGTGTTTAATGGTTTTCTACTGCCCGCCTCGAGCCAAGCAACCCCTGGTCAAATTGGTGCAAACCCGCCAAAACCCACCTGCGTCTGGCCGTGGTCGCAGGTGCATCCTACAACGGTCGCAAAACATATATGAATCGTTCCAGTACCTCAAGGGCTGTGTGTGTCGGCCGCCAAACAGATCCCCATCTGTCTCTGCAATGACATTCCCGAGCTGGATCTGCTCCCCATTGCCTCGTGGGTCAGGCTATTGAGCCAAAGGCTTCCGACGGAGTCCCACAAGCAAACTTCCAAATCATCCACTGACCTGTGGATCAGGCTATCGAGCCAAAGGCTTCCGACGGAGTCCCCCACGCAAACCTCCGAAGCACAACCGGCACCTCGCGTGGTGTTTCCCGCCAATGCCATTGTATGCCTGCGCTCAAAGCACTCAGCATCGTGTACTGGAACGTGTCCACACTACTACACCGGAACTCGAGTGAACGCCCCGGGCGACGCACTGCACTCGTCGCGATGGAACTGACGCGCTACCACATCGCTATTGCGGCGCTCAGGTAAACCCGGCTCCCTGAGCAAGGTAAGTTGCATGAAGCAGGTGCTGGCTCCACGTTCTACTGGGTGGGAAACGCCGCCTCAGCATCACGTAATCATGAGGTCGGATTTGCAATATCCGATCGCTTCCATAGCCAGCTAGTGGGTGAACCAACAGGCATCAACGCGCGACTGATGACTGTTCGCCCACGACTCGGAAGATGTAAATTTGCCACCTTTATAAGAACGTACGGTCCGACCATGTGTTATCCTGATGACACGCGTGATCAATTCTACACTCAGCTATCCTCCGTGTTACAGTCTGTGCCGAGGAGCGACCGACTATTTCTGCTGGGTGATTTTAACGTGCGCGTTGGGCGTGATGCATCGGTGTGGACAGATGTTATCGGTCCGCATGGACTTGGTTCAGCGAATGCGAACGGGTGACAGGCTGCTCTCATTGTGTGCCACTCGGCCTGACGACCACGAACACTCGGTTTGCACTGAATGCGAGTGATATAGCAACTTGGACACCCCCACGGAGTGGTCACACTCACCTGTTCCACTATGTCATCGTAGGTCAGGGTGATATGCGTAAACTGCGCATAACACGTGTACTGCGTGGAGCTGAGTGTGGCACTGATCACAAATTGGTGCGGACCAAACTGTACATATATTTTCGTAAATCTATGTATTGCACTCCCGCCGTGAATCGGCGTAAAGTTAACATCCTCTCCCTCGGTACTGTGGCGAAACGTACTGCGCTGGAGAAGGCGATTGCTGCACGCCTGTGTGATGTGGACTGAATAGCCACAGTGGGCGACCTGTGACACCACATTCCCGTCCAGGTGACAGCTGCTGCCAAGGAGACCATCGGCCGCACAAACTGTAAGCGGCCTGATTGGTTTGATGATCACAATGCGACGATTGGCGCATTGGTGTCGGAGAAGAATGCAGCATTTGCTGCACATGTGACCGATCCCAGTGACTTAAGGAAGAATAGTCAGTTTCGCAAACTTCGACGGCGAATGACCCGAGAGCTCCGTCGCATTAAAAATGCATGATGGACGGAGAAGACGAAGCAGATGGAATACTACGCCGAACGCCGCCAACACATGGAATTCTGACTCTTTGAAGGCGGAGTGTGGACCTAGATTGAAGCCGCTGAAGACCCTAATCGATGGTAGCACGAGCGCTACCTGCACACAAACTGCAGACGTAATGCAGATCTGGCAAAAGCACTTTAACTGTCTCTTGAACAACCGTTCACAGATCGACTGGCCTACTTTGAACGGCCTGAAGCAGCACGATGTGAAGACCAGTCTGGCGGACACGCCGACACTGGATGAGACGTAGAGAGCACTTGCTCAGCTGCGAAACGGCAAGTATGTCGGTGCAGACGGGATCCCGCCTGAAGTAGTGAAACACGGCGGACCCGCATTGGTGACTGTGCTGCACCACTTGGTGCAACGCGTATGGATTGAGGAGGATGTGCCTGCTGAGCTGAAGGATGCCCTTGTGCTATCACCGTACAAGGGCAAAAGGTGCAAGCAGTGTTGTACGAATTATCGTGGCATCAACTTGCTGAGTTGTGTGGGCAAGGTGATTGCCCGAATCCTGCTCAACCGTCTCGTCAATCAGGTTGTGGAACCGAAGGTGGCGGAAGAGCAGTGCGGATTCCGTTCGGGTCGCAGCACTATAGATATGGTGTTTGCGGCTCGTCAGTTGCAGGAGAAGTGCAGAGAACGACGCCAGCCATTGTACACACTTTTTGTTGATTTTACCAAGGTATTTGATTCGGTGAGCAGCGAGGCATTGGATAAGTTTGGTTACCCGCCTAAGTTTAATTGAATGTCTGCGCAGTGGTATGCAAGCGAGGGGTGCAGTTGAGTGGAGAGACCTCGGATGACTTTGCAGTGGTCTCTGGTCTAAAGCAACGCTGTCTTAGCTCCTGCTCTGTGTAATACATATCTTCATGCAGTGATGTATTGTGCTTTTGATACCGCTTGTGCTTACGGTGTTCGTGTGCAGCATCGTATTGATGGTGAGTTGCTGAACATCCGTCGTTTCGGTGCGTAAACTTTAGTCTGTCAGACAACTAGCCGTAGATTGCTGTTTGCTGACGACTGTGCGTTGTTTGCACATAGCGCGGATGAGTTGCAACACATGACTGGTGCTCTGGCTGCAACAGGGGCCAAATTCGGGTTCACGATCAACACAAGCAAAACTGTCTGTCTCTTTCAGCCTTCACTGGAGGTGCAATCTACAATGGTGCCGCGAATCAGCATTGGTGCTGAAGTATGGTCAACCACCTCCCGCTTCTGCTACCTTGGGAGTGTGATGTCGACTGATCAGCAGCTACACAGTGAGCTGCGTATCCGCGTCTCAAAGGTAGCGGCGGCATTCGGGAAGCTTGAGTACCGAGTGTGGGACAACCATCAGCTTACCATTGGCACGAAGCTGATGGTGTACAAATCCGTGATGTCGTCCGTTCTTCTATACGGCAGCGAAACGTGGACGATGCACCGGCGAGATGTGAGATATCTCGAGCGGTTCCATCAACAGTGTTTGCGACGGATTCTGCGCATCGGATGGGGCGACAGAGTTGCAGACACGGAAGTGTTGCGCCGATGTGGAATGTATGCGGTGGACTGCATACTTTTGCTGAGACACCTGAGGTGGATCGGTCACGTGAGCCTTACGGATTCGACGCGGATACCGAAACAACTATTATGTGGTTAACTGGGTATTGGGAAGCGGCATGCGGGGAAACCAAAGTTACGTTACCAGGACATGATTAAAGTGAGCCTCTGACGTTCTAATCTTGATTGCAGATCATGGGAATCGAAGGTGGTTGATCGGCGCGTATGGCACCATCTGATCACGAAGGCAGTTGCCGAGGTGCGGGAGAAATACCTCATGCATGCAGAGAAGAAGCGGCAGTTGCGGAAGCGACAAGCACCGATGGATTGTGCTCCATCGAAATCGAGCGCATGGTGCTGTAGCACATGCGGTCGCGAGTGCTTGAGTCAGGCAGGCTCAGTGAGGCATGAGCGAGGCCACTCGGGTCCATCACCGAAGCGACGACGTGTCCTGGAGAGAACGTAGGCAGAACCTGCGCAGCGTTTGTAAGTACGCTGAATTCGATCTACTAACCGCGTGCTTGCATGCTAAGTCTCTTTATTTCAGGTGGTGGGTTCTCAATTTTGTCCTAATGCTTTTCTCTCCCCTATTAATGTCCACATGTACGCTCTTCTATAAACCTGCACAACTCGCTTAAGCCAATTGTAGTTAATTTCGATAATATTTTCGCGTTTGTGTCATTTCCGTAAATATACTTTCTGACCCCCCGAACTTATCTCGGATTCTTTGTTAACAATTTATTTCATATGCCCATTAATTTAAGATTTTTATCACGTTTCTTTATGCATTACTCGAGTTCTTTTCTTTGCTAGCTTTCTCTCAAGTGCTTGGCTGTTGCTTGATATCCCAGGTGTGGCTGCGCTTGATGTGCATGTTGACAAGGTGCCTACCTGTCTATTATCCACTACCTCGTCCATACTGGCTCTAGGAGACAGTTGCTCGTTGCTGGATGGGACGGGGTGCACGGTTCTTGTGGCCATGTTAGGATCAAAGAGTGGTTCCATGCATTCAGTGTGGAGTGGACTACGGTCCAGCCATCGCCTTGTGTGCGCTTGATTCCCCAAATACAGCATGCTTGTGGTTGCCCGTGAAGGAGTGTGGGCCGGCTCCGTTGATGAAACGTGGCTCCCATCCACATGCCTCCCGGTCCTATTCCTTCGGGTTTACACTGGATATGGGGTGTGTGGATGGAGCTGTGGGTGGTGCAGCACAAGCTACCCGTGGTCCCTCTGTAGGCGCTGGTGTCCTGTGGCTGGCCACAGTGACAGGCAAATCCGAAAGCGGATGCCGCCAACCATATATATATATATATATATATATATATATATATACATACATACATAACACAGTACTCCACGACGCCTTTCAACCATTATTTAATATCGTTAGCTGGAGACAGCAGGCGTCGGTACTAGTGGGATGTTAGGTGCGACCTGTTTAGCCCCCAGCTTATGACGGGAAACGCATGGTACAACGGTTAATGACTGCTTGGAGAACCATGTTAAAATACTCGTCGCGTGAATGGATCACGAGGTGCAATCTCAAGGTGGACCGTAATTCGCATGAAAGTGAAGTTTGGTTAATTCGATCATTAGGACTGTAGCTGAAACGTATGGAAATTGGGTGCTGCCCACCCAGAAACACCACACACCACGACACGTGTGATAGAGCCACACTTCGTATGCACTCCGATCACCTACCTGGGCAAGTGGTGCCGACTGACACTGTGTCCGGTTAGATGAAAATAACCATTCGATGAGATAACGCACTATGAAAAGGGGGATAAAATGACAACCCCTCGATACACGTCGTTTCCTTTGGATCGGAGAAATGAAACCAGGTAGATGAAAGGTTGAGGACCGGTTGTGTCATGATGCGGATAATACACGAGTAACCGCCAGTCTACTGCCTATCTCGAAGTCACATTTCATGTATCGGAGGATTAGGACCTTAACTCGAGTGAAACTTTGTTCGCTTATTTCTCATCTTTGTTTCATACTGATAGTACAACGACGCAAGTGTTATAAACTGGATCTTTCGAGCTTGCAGACATAAAATGCAGACAAACGAAATGATAAACACACTGCGCATGGTGAAAAAACGACCGGAAATTTGAAGGAGAGAGGAACGATGGTATGGCATTTAAAGAGAACGTTCATAGGAAAACACTTTAAGCTTCTTACCGTAGCTGGATCTTCCAAAGGCTCATCAATCTCGGCTTGCTTAAGGAATACGTTACCACGACAAGCTCTCCAAAGCATGCGTTCGAATGCAGGAAGACGGTCTCGATTGATGACGCCAGCTAAGGAGCTGTACAGTATAAGCAAACATGAGTTGGTAGGGGAAGGTAAGTCAGGATGGCTGTTCAGCAGAAAATCAACGAGTTACTGCGAATGATGCAAACGCTATAGGAGATTAGCGGAGTAATGAACAGACAACCTGAGTGGCCATGAATGTCACACTGAGTGCAGTGTGCAATTTAAAATTGGCGAACCAAGCTGGACTGCAGCAGTACAAAGCTGCTATGGCCTGAAACAACTGTGTAAGGCAATGGCGATCTAGCCGTGCATTAGCAGCTCTCCAAGATTGGTTCAACTGAGCAACTACGAACCCCGCAAAGGCATGTGGTAGGGATGTTTCACAACGGTGGAGAAAATGGTGCACCACGAATAGCAGAATAACACGAACAGTGGTAGAAAGTACAACTTTTAATGGGTCTAGACTCTCGAACTGTGGGTGGTGCAGCGCAAGCCACCCATGGTCCCGAGGTAGGCGCAGGCATGTTGTGGCTGTCCCTATGGAGGCAGCAGTGACGGGCAAGTCCGGTATTGGATGACGCCAATCACCACTAGAATGTCACAACGCGGACACAAGGGACGGCGAGTATAAGCGCCGTTGATTCTTCGTCTACATCACGCCAGAAAAGGCTGTTAATCGCTGATCGGGCCAGTTCCGAAGTCTACAACCAGAAGGACATTAAGTGTTTGGTTGATAGAGTTTTTCAGGTAATTTTCTGATAACGTTTAATTAGGTTATATGTCGGTCAATACACGGTTTAACTCTATTGGGCGAAACGACAACGGTCGACGGAGGTAGTGAACGCAACCCAGGCAAAATAAGCGATTCAAGTTAAAATCACACTGAATCGTGGCACCACAGCCGAGTACAAAACACCAGCTGGAGAATGAGTGTTGTTAGTAAGTTGCTTTCGACAGAGTTAAGGAACACTTTATAGTGCAAATGGTCAAAGATGAATAATTTCTCAACGTCTTCTATGCGAAGAGGACAAGGTTCCGATTTATAAACTGGTCTTGACTGCGGTGGAGGGTTTCGGTGTGGCTCTCCCATCTCTGCACTCCACGACCGACGGTTTCGTCTTGACTGCACCGTATAGCAGTTCAACAGATTTTGCATTTGTATGACAGGTTGACATATCGCATTTTGCATAAGTGATTAAGACGCTGAAATACAATCAGTGCATCGATGACCGAAGGTAGCGATAATATCACCCAATTCGAGCGGCTGTTCGGCGATACGTCAAAGAACTGGTGGTGTGTTGGTGCAGTGTGGAAACAGTACCATGCAATTCGTCGGTGTGAAACAGATAAAGCGTGAAGCGATTAAATCATCCAAGAGCCGCGCGATTCTGATTAAAGACGCGCGTGTTTTCAACGGACATCCAACTCTAGTAAATGTTGGAATTCCACGGTCTTGGAAAAGTTGTCTTCAGAGGTACAACCATCAGACCACGGTATATAATACGAAGGAGATGAGATGTTGGCTGTAAATATAGGCTATCCTGGGACCTTCCTGTTTCCAGAAAAGCCAGGTTTGTTAACAAAATTAGTAATGCGAAGCCGATCTAGTGGAGTACAAAATAGGCAAACGACGCACGCCACGAATATTCCGGAGGTTTCCGTTGAACAGAATTTTTAGACCGCTCCTAATTGAAACGCATATTCAGCGAAATCGTTCTCCCAGATTGCAGCACTCCGCGTAAGCCCATCCATAAGCGCTTCTACAAGGGTTAGATCCTGCCTAAGAACACATGTCGTTGCAAACCAAGAGCTTGTCGATTGGTCACCGGAATAACTTCCATTACGGAATGGAATGAGATAACAGAATCATGTATAGATGTAGCGCTCCGTTAAATTATATGAATGGATGTTTCTGGTAACATTCGTTTAGCATTTGCCTGTTGAAAGACTTTCCAATCACCTTCAAAAAGCGATCTAACAAGCATGTGAGAATGGATTGACTTTCAATCTTTCGTAGTTATTCCCTGCTAAGTGATGACTTTCCTCTACCCAATGAGGCCCTCTCCATCCTAATGACCCTAATTAATCAGAAGTTCCCTGGTCACAAATGTTCAGTGCGTAGTTGGACTGCCCAGCATACCGGTAGGGTGAAGAGATGATAAACTAGAAAATGTGACCAGGTGTCAACGCGGAAAACGAAACTAAAGTAAAACGAAGAGATGGAGATTGGGGAAAATAGGAAGGAAACTAGTTTTCAGGACACAACGACCAAAAACAACTGTAGAGTAACCGAGAACGATAGGTGATTTGTTCTAATGCAACGTAAGCGCAGGGCATGCAAAACATCTGCCTGAGAAAAGCCAGACAAAACATGCGGCGCCAATGTGGAGCAGCGATGAGGTGAATAAAAGACGAGCGCAAACTACGAAAACTAGCGTCACATCATGCATAAAACAAAAACAGGTTTGCGCACAAAGAAGCTAAAAGGACAGCGATATAAAGGATAACAGAAGTGTGGTCATGCATAACGAGAAATTGTGTGGCACTGAAAACGTACCCTAAACGTAGTCCAGCGGCTTGGGTAGCCTCGCCACCGAGGAGCCCGACGTTCTCTTCCGCCATTGCTGGATCATGGAGCGCCTGATAACGATCCAGTCGACGGAAAGGCAAATCATTTGAGGACATGGTCAATCGGTCAGTCGGCAAAGCGACGGACTTAGTTATAAAGAAAAAACACCGCGAATTCGAAGACAGAATACACAAAAGTAAATCAGTAAATAAAAGCGCAAAAATGGCAATCACTTCATAACAGATAAACACAACTAACTGAACTATATTGATATCGGGAACAACAGGCAAGCAGTGAAACGATTTTGTTGAAAAACAGTGTAACGGGAAGACGAACACATGTAGATGCTGGCAATTGGTGTTGTATCATCAATACCAATACAATGACTTGGAAATCATTACATAGGTGTCACAGGGTACAACCAGGCCAATCACGTTCATGGATGTGGTCAGTAGTGTTGGCATCAGGATCACGGCAACGACATGTTGAAAACTAGTTGCTTTTGGACGCATAAAGCTGCCCTAATCCGGCTTATCATGACGGCTTCGGCAACTCGCAAAGGGCGTGAATTCGTATGACGCAACAAGATTAGAAAAACACCGATAGGGAAATAGTCTGATGACAGGTCGCCAAAATGTGCCTGCCTGTGGATGACGCCGACGGCTTTCGCGTGCCCGTAGTGTCGAAAGGGGATTGATTAACTTCGCGCATCAACGCAGCATGGCAAATGTTCCTTCATTCTAGAATCCAAAGCCCGTTCGGTTCTGCTGATGTAACTGATGCGGCAGTCACACACGAATTGGTAAACACAAGGTGATTTGGCGTCGACGGGTTCATCTTCCTTTACTGAAGGTAACAGCTATCGGGTTCAGTTGAGAATTACCGCCTCCGAAGTCCCGTACATACACTGAATGGTCGATTCTAAGCGTTTAATTGTCCTTCTTACTGCGGTGTCACCACTGAATGGTAGCTCGATGTATACCTTTTTCTTTGGTACCGTCAAAACCATTTGTTTAGACAGTCTAACCTGGTTCTGATTTTTAATGAAGCGCTTTTGGTAGCGATTCCCCATGAGAGTTTTGGTGATGAGCTCAATTTCCTCAGACAACCAATCGTTCGAGCTGCTACGTCAAATAGTTTTCACCAGTACGCGCTTGTGTCATCAGTGAGAAGTATAGATACTGGCCTGGCCATGTTGGATTCCCACATATAGATTGCTTAATCAGCCCATTATCCCTGCAACTGATAAGAATGTCAGGGTACGGAAGACATCCATTCGATTCGAACTCACATATCAACTTCAGGTTAGTGTGATCAATATTAAATTGGCTTACTGATCGCTTAATTTGTATCTACGAGGAACCGAAAACAAGGGTGGCATAAACATATCCTTCGTAATAAGGCAGCTGAGAAACTTTTCCATTCGTTTTAGGTAGCATCGTTTCCATTGTTAAATCTTTTTCAGCGCTACGAAACAAGTCAGATGAGCTTGAGCTGTGGTCGCCGTCCTGGTCCAAAATGCTCAACGCTTCCAAGTACCGCGCTGACAATCGTCGGGAGTTGACGAAATCGTATCGTCCCGAGGCTGCAAGAAATTATATGACATCCAGTTCAACCAGAGTTAAGTGCGTTAGGGCATTGTTATCGCGAAATATACCAAGGTGAACACACGCTGTTGAGACGATCCGCAAGATAAGATTAACATTTTGTTCTGAAACCTATAATGCTTTCCGTACTTTGCTCTTTAATTTGTAAATTCTTGGATGGTTACACTCTTCCTCACTGGTTGTGCTGTTCACCAACCAGGTCCCTGTGTATTCCATTAAGCTCATTTCCAAGTGCAGTGGTTTGCCTAAAGAGCTAATCGCGGGATACATCCTTACTAAGCATTTCACCGCAAGTGACATTTCAGTAAAATCAGTAAATAACATTTTTACTACGTGCACAAGGATTTGTCGAAAGCTCTTCCACGCTTGTCCACGTGCTTCAAACCTAAGGTACTGTTTTCTCGCGCATGTTATCATAGCTATCTTACAGTATTTATCACGTTTACCAGTTAGAGTAGCGCCTTGGAACAACAGATGAAGTCACGAAAGGTATACCAAAAGCTAGGAACACTTGTGGTAATCTACGACATTTTTTGCCGGCGTAACAACACCGTCACTTCCCAGTGTAGACTCCACAATGAGGCCGCCTGTTCAACTCAACTGTACTTGCGATACCTGATTCACCAGAGTGATCTACACAAAAAGTTTAATTGCGCTTAGTTACTAGAGACTTCGACGCATAGGTCATGTTTGATGGGAACACCACGTGAGCAACGAGCGTGTTCGCTGTCACGTTTTAGGCGCAGGCAGAGCACTATTAGTTCACGAACTATGCCTTGATGGCTGAAACATGCGTTGTACATGTGACGTGTTGTCAGTGAAACTGGTACCTGCATGACAGAAGCGGAAGAGAGGCCAGCCCATGAATTGGTGGAGATAAATGAAGGCTTTCACTTCGAACTAGGGATTGGTTGATCCTTTCCGATTCCTGAGTTTGAGTCCCAATAGATATGAACACGTCTGGTTAGAGACACTTGCTGACATAGTCAGTAGGAAACCGAAGGTGGCGCATGTACTGAGTTTCCTTATCCCTCATCTTCCCGCTTAGTCTCTCTTAACCCTGATCTCGTTCTCTAAGCATAGTACAAACGTTTTCTGGCTTTGTTTTTTACTTAAACCTAAACGTTGAATACTGCGGCCCAATATAGATGTTGCTCACCCAGAGTTAACGTGCAGGAGGGTGACCACGCTGACTATTTAATTTCGAGCGGATGTTAATGTAACGTTAAATGGATGCGTCAAGAACGGAAAGGAGCGAAGCAAAAGAATAAGCAGTACGCCGTACCGAAGCTTCGCTACCGCGCAACCACCACCAGTCGCGCATGGGCTAAGGACGTTGCGAGGGTCGCCCGGTTCCATACGCAGGCTCGAACCAGTGACGTTCGCGATGCAAGGGTGAACCAACAGGCATCAGCTCGCGATTGATGACTGTTCGCCTACGACTCGGAAGATGTACGTTTGCCACTTTTATAAGAACGTACGGTCCGACCATGTGTTATCCTGATGACACGCGTGATCAATTCTACACTCAGCTATCCTCTACGATACGGTCTGTACCGAGGAGCGACCGACTATTTCTGCTGGGTGATTTTAACGTGCGCGTTGGGCGTGATGCATCGGTGTGGACAGATGTTATCGGTCCGCATGGCATTGCGAACGATGACAGGCTGCTCTCATTGTGTGCCACTCATGGTCTGACGATCACGAACACTCGGTTTGCACTGAATGCGAGTGATATAGCAACTTGGATACCCCCACGGAGTGGTCACACTCACCTGTTCCACTATGTCATCGTAGGTCAGGGTGATATGCGTAAACTGCGCATAACACGTGTACTGCGTGGAGCTGAGTGTGGCATTGATCACAAATTGGTGCGGACCAAACTGTACATATATTTTCGTAAATCTGTGTATTGCACTCCCGCCGTGAATCGGCGTAAAGTTAACATTCTCTCCCTCGGTACTGTGGCGAAACGCATTGAGCTGGAGAAGGCGATGGCTGCACGCCTGTGTGACGTGGACTGAATAGCCACAGTGGGCGACCTGTGACACCACATTCGCGGCCAGGTGACAGCCACTGCCGAGGAGACCATCGGGCGAACAAACTGTAAGCGGCCTGATTGGTTTGATGATCACAATGCGACGATTGGTGCATTGGTGTCGGAGAAGAATGCAGCATTTGCTGCACATGTGACAGATCCCAGTGACTTAAGGAAGAATAGTCAGTTTCGCAAACTTCGACGGCGAATGACCCGAGAGCTCCGTCGCATTAAAAATGCATGGTGGACGGAGAAGACGAAGCAGATGGGAATACTACGCCGAACGCCGCCAACACATGGAATTCTTTGACTCCTTGAAGGCGGTGTATGGACCGAGATTGGAGCCGCTGAGGACCCTAATCGATGGTAGCACGAGCGCTACCTGCACACAGACTGCAGACGTAATGCAGATCTGGCAAAAGCACTTTAACTGTCTCTTGAACAACCGTTCCGAGATCGACCGGCCTACTTTGAACGGCCTGAAGCAGCACGATGTGAAGACGAGTCTGGCGGACACGCCGACACTGGATGAGACGCAGAGAGCACTTGCTCAGTTGCGAAACGGCAAGTGTGTCGGTGCCGACGGGATCCCGCCTGAAGTAGTGAAACACGGTGGACCCGCGTTGGTGACTGCGCCGCACCACTTGGTGCAACGCGTATGGATTGAGGAGGAGGTGCCTGCTGAGCTGAAGGATGCCCTTGTGCTACCACCGTACAAGGGCAAAAGGCGCAAGCATTGTTGTACGAATTATCTTGGCATCAACTTGCTGAGTTGTGTGGGCAAGGTGATTGCCCGAATCCTGCTCAACCGCCTCGTCAGCCAGGTTGTGGAACCGAAGGTGGCGGAAAAGCAGTGCAGATTCCGTTCGGGTCGCAGCACTATAGATAGGGTGTTTGCGGCTCGTCAGTTGCAGGAGAAGTGCAGAGAACGACACCATCCATTGTACTCGCTTTTTGTTGATTTCACCAAGGCATTTGATACGGTGAACCGCGAGGCATTGCGGCTGGTGTTAGGTAAGTTTGGTTGCCCACGTAAGCTTGTAAGTTCACTAGGATGTCTGCACAATGGTATGCAAGCGAGGGTGCAGTTGAGTGGAGAAAGCTCGGATGACTTTGCAGTGGTCTCTGGTCTAAAGCAACGCTGTGTGTTAGCTCCTGCCATCTTGATTCTATATCTTCATGCAATGATGTATTGTGCTTTTGATACCGCTTGTGCTTACGGTGCAGCACCGTATTGATGGTGAGTTGCTGAACATCCGTCGTTTCGGTGCGTAAACTTTAGTCTGTGAGACAACTAGCCGTAGGTTGTTGTTTGCTGACGACTGTGCGTTGTTTACACACAGCGCGGATGAGTTGCAACACATGACTGGTGCTCTGGCTTCAACAGGGGCCAAATTCGGGTTCACGATCAACACAAGCAAAACTGTCTGTCTCTTTCAGCCTTCACCGGAGGTGCAATCTACAATGGTGCCGCGAATCAACATTGGTGCTGAAGTATGGTCA